TCGTGTAATAAGAGATTTATTATCCAACACGTCAAATTGTTATTTCAGTGCAGACGAATCTCGCGGATATTTCTGGAGTACAACTATCGCGTGATATTTGTACTCTACGAAGCACAGTTGAATAATAAAACACCAATATCTAGCAGTCCAATCATAAGACATGTTCAGAATTCTGTTAAGAATAGTCCTTGTGATAATGTTTTAAACTGTTGAAGTCATTTTGAATTGAGTGTCGAAAGTAGTCATGGACTGCGTTGGTTTAGTCTGTTATTGGTCTGGAAAGATTACGCGGCCCTCTTGAACAAGATGAGTCTTATCAAGACCAGCACTTTTTCCAGTGCATCAGACGTTGTGCCAGTTTTTGCGTTAGTTTCTCTTATGCTTCTTGTGATATTTTCCTTTGTTTGAGCAGTTTCCAACTGTGTATCGAAAGTGGTGCAGGATTGCTTTGGACTCGCCTTTCTTCGTTCTGTGACTGGTCCAGAAAACTCGCGTCGCCATCTCAACCAATCAAATACAGAACTAAAACTAATCACGACTTGGTCGCCCTGCGTTTTTCCGCGCTTCAAGCAGGTTGCCCGTTTCTACTTTGAGCTCTTATTGGCCGATGATGATAGTTACCTTTCTGCGCTCTATGAGGAAACAGTGTTTTATATCCGAGCGTACTCATAATATAAAGTTACTAAGACCGTGTCAGAACTGATAGTAGATTAATAAACTATTTTTACCAACATTTCTCCATGTTTGTGCAGAGAATTTGTTTTATATTTAGTCGGAAGTTTAAGTGGCTTTTCTGCGAGCTTACTTAATCTGTTCTTTGCATTGGATGCTCTGAAAATATGTTTTAAAACTGTCTTTGATCTAAATGCGTAATTAGTAATTATTATAGAATAAACAGGGCATTACTTTTCCGTTAGTGGATACGAGTTTATAACATCTCTCACGAGTGTAAAGAGGCAACGAGTGAGAGATATTATCATTGATTAACACTCAACGGTGAAATTCGTAGTTACGCGCAGTTAGGTAATTCCTTCTCACGATTGGCAAAAGGTTTTGAGCAACCAGGCTGTGATACAAAGCAGGCGGCACTAAAAAGTGTTATTTCCACCAATGTCTGACGCTTTCATGCTAAAAATACGAGCCACAGGCATTCGGAATAGCTGGCACCATTTTTTAGAGTAGATGCTGAAATTTGCAGGTTGCCGACCTATTGTCACAGCCCTGTCTCCCTTAGAAAACCTCAACTAGAATTACTTCAGGTTTTACTTTTCACGTCAAGCTTTTGAAACGCCGAACAACGATATACAGGGAGTGAACTGCGCATGAGTGATTTGCGTCACGCAAAACTGCGTGAGCTGCGAGGAAAAAGCGTACTACCCCAAGATACAATGGGCTTTCAAATTCTGGGCCATTCACAGACCTTGTAGTTTATTTTCAAGCATCTTCGAGCGCGAGGCAAAGAAAGAGCCGCAGGGTATTTAAAGAACACGAACTCTATCTAACCAGTTACTGACAGAAGGGGAGCTCACACCCGCTTCTGACCCTCTGATAGGCTGTTACCGAACGCTTCAAAAGAGAAAAGCTTAGTTAAGAGGGCGACTCGTCCATCTTCTACTACACGAGAGAAGTGCTCAATACAATTTGGAGTTCCAATGCCAAGAAGCCGCTTCGCCTTGAGTTATGGCGTAGACTGACTGAGTTGCAAGCTTCGCAACGGAATCCAACACACCGGGGTCGTCGAGGAGGACAACGCAAGCTGAAGCCAATCAAGGTCTGTATGGGTGGAGGGGTTCGGAAGAGCGAGCACCTTAAATGGCTTCAAGAACTCAGAACTTCAAGAAGATGATTTGCGTAATCAAGCTTGCTTTCATTAATATTCAAACAGACACCCCTGTCAGGAGCAGACCAAACAATCGCATAGTGACCGATAATTGCGTCCGTAGAACGCAGTCATAATGCGGTCTTGATTTGAGTTTTATGGGAGTGACGTCATGGTAGGTTGCATTGAAGTTGCGCACCGACTTGGCCACCCTGCAGCAGGGGCGAAACGAATGGCATGATAGCATATGCTGTACGATTCTTTGGAGTGCGTTGTCTACGGGTCTTCATTTGGGCGATTACTGGCCAACGAATTAATGAATGCCAACTTGACTCAAAGTAACGTTTATGTATCTGCCGTCGCGCCTTGTGTTATGAACATCAATTTATTTCATGAGGCTATTGTTAGTTCGATGGGTAAGTTGAGAGCTGATAAAGCCTCTGGGCCCGAGAGAGTTGTTAGCATTGTTCGAGACTTTAAACTATTTTCCATACCTCTGGTTAGACCTTGTGTAAATAACCGGCCCATTGTGTCGTGTTTTTGTGTTAATTCACCACCTTTTCCTACACGAAAGAGGACGTGTTTCTTTAAATCAGAGTTCTTAACGATCAACATTGTTCCAGACGTTAAACTATTTCCCGTTCCCCTGTTCTTCGTGTTTCTTC